CCAATTCCTTTCCCTAAATTCAGAATAAAATACATCTATAAAAGCAAGAAAGCTCCAAGCCATGGGTTATTTGCCTGCCTCACCCCCCCCCCAGGTCCCCTCACAGAATAGGGCATCTGCTCCTGCTCCTGGGGGTTTCACAGGGCAGAATCAGACAAGGCCTTCTCAGAGTCTTGCTTCCTCACTCTCATGAACTAGATGTGGTGGCATACACCATTAATCCCAGCACTCAGGAGGCAGAGGCAGGCAGAGCTTTGTGAATTCAAGGCCAGCCTGGGCTACAACATGAGTTCCAGGACAGTCAGGGCTATACAGGGAAAACCTGTCACAAAACAAAACAAAGCACAAAGCAAAACAAAAATAGTGCCACTCTCTGGTGACCAAGCATTCAACTATATGAGCCTATAGGTGCCTTTCTTATTTGAGCCCCCACATTCCACTCCCTGACCTCATAGGCTACAGCCATATCACAGCACAAAAGTGCATTCAGTCCAACTTCAAAAACCCCTGTGGTCTATCACAGTCTCAACACTGTTTAAAAGTCAAGTTCAAAGTCTCTTCTGAGATTCAAGGCACTCTCTTAACTATAAACCCTATAAAATCAAAATCAAAAGGCAGATCACAATACTTCCAACATAGGGTGGCAAAGGATATACATTACCATTCTAAAAGGGAGGAAGGGAAACATGGTGAGGAAATACTGGACCAAAGGAAGACCAAAAACCAGCCGGGCAAACTCTAAACTTTGTATCGCCATGTCCGATGTCTAAGCACTCTTCAGGTCTCCAACTCTGTTCAGCTTTGCTGACTGCAACACACTTCTCTCTCTTGAGCTGCTTCTACACTCTTGGCAGTTCTCCCCGGTGCGTACCCCACGACTCTGAACATCTTGGGTCTCCAACAAAATCTGGGCTTTGCTCTCATAGCTTCAGCGATGGTCTCTCTGGGTCTCCATGTAGGGACTACCCTGATACATACCTGACTTTCTTTACTCACGGAGGGAGATGCCACATCCCCTTTCTTGTATTCTGGATTTTAAAGTCTGAATCACGTTCCTGAAGCTGCCAAGCTCTGTTGCCGGCTAGGGCTAGAACACTGGTGTAGGCATACATTTTTTGCAACGTACTTTTAGTAAACATTCAGTCCCTCCTCACCACCCCAGAGGTAGTGGAAGAGAAAAGATATTAGGATATGGGGCAAGTGGAGCTGTTTAGAAATGATTCTTTGGAGCAAATCCCAACTGGGTTGTCAGGAAATCACAGGAGTTCAGTTCACAGGTCAGTAGTGGCAGCTCGATCCACTCGCAAACACTTCACAGACACACCAGCAGTCCAGTTCGGTAGTGTTGGTATAGCAGCATCGGTGGCATGACCTAGCAGGAGCAGCCAGGCCTCAGCTGAGTCAGCACGAGTCAGCAGGAGGGATTAGGGCCATCAGGGACACCAGGAATTCTTGGCTGTGTCTCTCTCAATGAATCGAAGATCAGCAAAGAGATGAGACCAAGAAGCATTGCAGAACGAGCTCTACAAGTAAGCCCCTCTCGCCGTCTGTTAAGTCCTACTTATACTCCCTCAAAACATCATGCCTCCTCCACAGGTCTTCATGCCTCAACCATGTCTTGCCTTAGCATGTGAGTCTATCTTAGCAAAACTCCACATAAGTCTGTATCAGCTGACAGCACTCTGCCAATCAGCCTAAGTCTGTGGAAGCAGGAAGAAGCAGCCAGCACACCACCAGAAGTTTTTTGGTGCATTTCTCTCTATGGCGTCTCAACAAATGGAGCTCAACTCCCCAAGGTAAGTGGCAACACATGAGTGTTGTTAGGGAAGAATCCTTCATCATTCATCTTCTCACGTGCTTCCTTTAGTAGAACACCCTTTCACCCGTGTCTGCCTCACCAAAACATTTGTTCATGGGTGTTTGCCTCAGCAAAACACCATCCAACACAACTGACTCCTCAAAGAACCCTTAGGTTTCCCCTTCACACAGGCCCCTTGTTCAAGTACATTCCCATCAGCTTTCTGGTTTTGACGGTTTCCTCCACGGCTTAACCTTTCCTGAAATTCTTTTTCACAAGTGGGAAACTTCGCTGGGTGGAGCCTTTCCTGAAGTCACCACTCCCTTCATCCTGATAAGCATCTGACGCCTTTCCTCCTCCAACTGTACATTTTGTATTTTTCTTGCTCAGTTTGTTCCCTTTCATTATAGATCTGCCTCTACCTTGAAATCCCCTCTGCCAGCACCATTAACCCAAAACTCCTTGGTTTAGCCTTGGGCAATAATTTGGGGAGACAAGGGCAGAAAGCAGTTATATTCTTTGCCAAAATATCACAAGAAGCCGGGCAGTGGTGGTGCACGCCTTTAATCCCAGCACTTGGGAGGCAGAGGCAGGCGGATTTCTGAGTTCAAGGCCAGCCTGGTCTACAGAGTGAGTTCCAGGACAGCCAGGGCTACACAGAGAAACCCTGTCTCGAAAAACCAAAAACCAAAAACAAAAACAAAAGCAAAAAACAAAAAACAAAACCAATCACAAGAATGGTCTCTAGGCCACACATAATATTCTCCTTCTCTGAAACCTCTTGAACTGGGCCAGCATGATCTCCACTGCTCTCAGCACCTCTGTCTTCCAAACTCCTATTAGTGTGGACCATTAAACCCAACTTAAAGTACTCAACTGGTTTCCTAATCCAAAATCTCAAAGTCCACATTCCACCCATAAACAGCATGGCCAGGTCCGATACAGCAATGCTCTGCTTCTTGGTACCAATTTCTTTCTTAGTCAATGTTCTAGTGCTGTGAAGAGACACCATGACCACAGCAACCTTTATGAAGGAAATAATTTAATTGGGGCTGGCTTACATTTTCAGAGTTTGTCCACTATGATGGTTGTGAGAGCATGGTGGTATGTGGTGAGACACAGTGCTGGGGAGGTAGCTAAGAATCCAACATCCAGATCCCACCACACTGGGTAACCTTATCTCTCTCCACCCTTTATTTATTTTTTTTTAAAAATATTATTTATGGGGCTGGAGAGATGGCTCAGCACTTAAGAGCACTGGTTGTTCTTCTAGAGGTCCTGAGTTCAATTCCCAGCAACCACATGGTGGCTCACAACCATCTGTAATGGGATCTGATGCCCCTTTCTGGTGTGTCTGAAGACAGCTACAGCGTACTCACATACATAAAATAAGTCTTTAAGAAGCATCACTATTGTCACTGTGTGGATGACGATGTATTTGTGAGAGTGGGTATGTGTGTGACACAGTACAGGAGAGTCATAGGTTAATGGTATGGCGTTGGGTTTCTCCCTCCTCTATGTGACTTCAGGGATGCAGTGCAGGTCACCAGGCTTGCTCAGTAAGCCTCTTTAGCCATTGAGCTATGTCACCATCGGTTACCTTTTTTTTTTTTTTTCTAGACAGGGTTTCTCTGTATAGCCCTGGCTGTCCTAGAACTCACTCTGTAGACCAGGCTGGCCTCGAACTCAGAAATCCGCCTGCCTCTGCCTTTCAAGTGCTGGGATTAAAGGCGTGCACCACCACCGCCTGGCAGGGTTACCATTTTTTGAGGGCTTTTCCACTGATCTTTTTTGGGATCTTGCTGATTTGGGCAAAGTGACTGGCCAGCAAGTCTCTGGGATCTGCCCGACTCTGCCTCCCCAGTTCTGGGGTTAGTGCATGCCACCACCTCTTGCAGCTTTTATGTGGGTCCTGGGGGTCTAAGTTGATTCCTTACACTAGTTCCGGAAACATTTTACTGGCTGAGCTGTCTCCTCAGTTACTCCGTAACGGTTTAAAGTGAGATTTTCCACTGTCGGGGGCATACTCTTTCACTTATCCACACTCTCTATGATTTTTATCTTTTACCTCTTTGCTGGGTCTCTCTCATCAGAACAAAAGCTTATATTTTCTAGTGGTTGCTAATGAATGACAAAATGACTTGCCTTGCAAGTATTCTTTTTTTTTTTTCTTTTAAGACAAGTCTCACGTAGCATAGGCTAGCCTGGAACTCATTATGTAGCTGAGGATGATCTTGAAGCATTGAGACTCCTGGCTCTACCTCTCAAATGCTGAGATTACAGGGGTACACCACCAAGCTGTCACCTCCCACCCACCTCTCAAGCCACTGACTCTTTTGTTCACTGAAATGGCACTTGCAAAGGTTGCTAACAACTTCCTTGTTTGTAAATCCAGTCCCATCTTTGAGGTATTATTTACCTTACTAATCAACAGCCCTTAATACTTTCCTCCCTAAGTTCCGTCTCCTACACACCATACACAGGCATTCCCCATCACTCAAAAAGCTGCTTTTTCTGGTTTTTTTTTTCTTTTTCTTTTTTTTCCAAGGCAGAGTTTCTCTGTGTAGCCCTGGCTGTCCTGGAGCTCGATCAGGCTGGTCTTGAACTCAGAAATTCAGGTGCCTCTGCCTCCTGAGTGCTGGAATTAAAGGCATGTGCCACTATGCCTAGCTCAGTAAATTTTTACTCAATGTAAGAAAGCTGTACTCGTCTAAGCTACTTGGACTCACACATGAAAGGGCATGTCTTAAATCATTACCTGAAGACCCCTTCCCAGCCAGGCAACCAGTCTCAACCCACAGGTTTGGCAGGGCCGGTTGGCACGCGCCGCCTTACACTGTTTGGTTCGTTTTTCTGCCTCCAGCCTGGGAACTGCGGCTGGCGATGGAGGTAGTTGTAGTTAGAGGTGCAAGTTCAAGTTTTCTACCAGGTACCAGAAGACAAAGTTCTGAGATGTCCTCTGCAGACCCATAATACTTCAACTCTCCCACCGACTCTTACCTTCACAGGAGGGTGGGGACGCTCCAAGCGCTGCCCCACTGACCAATACTTGATCCAAGATTAAAAGAGTCAGCCAATTGCTCGGGCCCAAAGACAGTAGGGGCGGGGCGCGGTTGCTAGGGCCGGGCTAGTGGTTGCCGGCAGAGGCGCGAAGCGACTCGGTGGTTGCTAGGCAGGGAGGTCACAGAGTGCGGCTCGGGGATTGGGCAACGCTAGGCGTGGGCGGGGAGGGGGCGTGGCCCGGCGGCGTCCGGGCCCCGGCGAGGTGGAACTGCGGGAGTTCCGGCGGGAGGCCCGTGCTGACGGCCCGCACCTTCACCATGGCCTCGGCCGAGCTGGATTACAGCATCGAGATCCCGGATCAGCCCTGCTGGAGCCAGAGTATGGAGGGGGTTTGGGGAGGTGGCCTAACAGCGATGTCCCGCCCGCCCTGCCGGCCCGCCCTCTCTCGGCCCGCCCACTTCGGGGGTCCCGCAGGGCTGGCTAGAGCTTGCGGGACGCGCAGAGCCCCGCCCCCCGCGCCCCGCCCCCAGTCGACTGAGGGTCTTTCTGTTCCATGCCAATTTCTCAAGGCCTGTGTTCTGCTTCCCTTTGTAGTTGGAGGCCCCCCTCGAGGTTCATTCTAATTCTTTTGTTTTGGATCTGGCTTCCCATTTCTCGCCACTCATCTGCAAGTGTGGCTAGGCCCACCCTTCATTTCTGCAGACTGATTGGATTCCTGGGGGAGCCTCTGGTCCTCAGAAAAGCCCAGGGATTCAGCAAGCCTGGTCCTGCTCTTCTCTGCTCACCTTGGCAGTGGTTAACAGGACGGTCTGTCAGGTTGGGTCGAACTCTGTTGAAATCCTATCCCTTTAGTAATTGGATGACCTCCAGCAAACTTTCAACTTTGAATTTTAGTTTTCCCTGAGCAAAAATGAGGAAAAATTTCTGGTTGCACAACTGAGATTATTTGTGTAAAGGATTGGGCATGAGTCCTGGTGGAAGTGAGCTTAGTAGTTGGCATTTAAAATTAACGTTTTTTCCCCTCTACGGCCATATCATTAAAAAAGATGTGTGTGTGGCCTCATAAGATTAGTAGCTTGTAGCCGGGGAGTGGTGCACACCTTTAATCCCAGCACTTGGGAGGCAGAGGCAGGTGGATTTCTGAGTTCGAGGCCAGCCTGATCTACAGTGTGAGTTCCAGGACAGCCAGGGCTATACAGAGAAACCTTGTCTCAAAACAAAACAAAACAAAAAAAGATTAGTAGCTTGTAAAGTAGTGTAAAGTAGTGTAAAGTAGTGTAAGTGGATGCACCAAAGAATGGAAGGTTGTCCCTTTTGGGAACTGGGGCAGAGGAGGCTTGGAGTACAGGTTGGCCTCTGCTTCTGCTCTGTGGTCTATTTCCAGTCCACTGCCCGGCACTTGTCCAGCTCATCATAAAGCATAGCTAGGGGAACTTCCTTCAAAAGCCTTCCCAGGCCCCCCTGTCCCACTGCGTGTTCCTTGCTTGGAGTCTAGAATGGGGCAGCAGCCTCTCATCCAAAGCAGGAAGGCCGTCACTGTCTGTTTCTCCCTAGGGAATGGATCTTTGGGCTTATAGATGTGAAAGGACTTTTGAAGAATTTTGACAATAGCGTTAGATGAGGTCAGTTACTATTTCTGTCCTTGTAAAGCCATAAGCTGCACAGAGCTGCTGCTCCCTTTGGCACGACCAGAAGGGTGGGGATTCTCTCTCTCCCCGAGTAAGCCTAGACAGTCTTATTTATTATTTATTTATGTAGGCAGGACCTGGGGATTGAACGCAGGGCCTCATGCGTGCTAAGGCAAGTGCTTTACCACTGTGTCATACTCAGCCCTCGTTAAACTTTATTAGACATTTATTTATTTGTGTGTGTACATGCACGTCATAGTGTTTGTGCACAGGTCACAGGAAAGTTGGTAGCAATTGGTTCTATTTTTCTACTGGGTGGGCTGGAGCGCTAACTCAGGTCCTGTGGTTTGTCAGTACGAGCTTTTTCCCTGCTGAACCATCTCACCAGCTCAGCCTTCCTTTTATGACAGTTGTCTTGGCTGGCCTTGAACTTACTCTGTAGCCCAAGTGAGCTTGAAATTACAAATATTCTTTAATCTTTGCCAATAGCTAACATTCCAGGCATGTGCCATTGGAACTGTCTTTGGCTGTTTTTTGATTTTTTGTTTGTTTGTTTGTTTGTTTTTCGAGACAGGGTTTCTCTATGTAGTCCTGGCTGTCCTGGAGCTCACTCTGTAGACCAGGCTGGCCTCGAACTCAGAAATCCACCTGCCTCTGCCTCCCAAGTGCTGGGATTAAAGGTGTGCACCACCACTGCCCGGCTGTTATTGTTATATTATTTTATTCTTATTGAGATAGGGTATATCTATGTAGTTCTGGCTGTCTTGGAACTTGTTCTGTAGACCAGGCTGGCCTAAAACTCAGAGAATTATTCTTGAATCTTTCTAAGCTATGTATTTCTCCTGTGTCAGATAGAAATAATAATAACAACCCTCTAAAATCATAAAGGTAGGGTAGATGCTGGATGTGTGTGCCTGGAACTGAGTGGCCGCTCTCTGTGTATCTCCTCCCCAGTGCAAAGCGTTGTTGCTTTAGGGGGCTGGGCTTAGAACTGGAAGGCATCTGTGGGGCCTCTTTACCCTGCAGGATGCTTTCTCCCTGGGCGCCTGGGTCTGTTGGAGACATTGTTAGAAAGCACTTCCTGTTCTTGAGTCACATCAGCCTCACATCCCTTCTGCTCAGTTCTTCCTTTGCTGTGTCCCCGCCTTGGGCTAGTTGATGGCACCTCAAGCGATGCAAACTCAGAGAGCAGTGGTTTTCTGGAGGGAGGGAATGTGGAAGCAGGTGGTTCACAAGTATGTGGATACTAACTGGAAAGTAAGCCTTCTTCCTCTCTAAGGGACAGCTTTCCCACTTCCTTGAAGCTTTCCTCCAAGAGGAAGTACCTTCAGGGCTCACAGTGTTTCCTCTGCTTCCCTCTCATGGTGCAGGCCCTAGACCTAAGCCAGAGGTCATGGAATGTTTCCCCAACCCTAACTTTAACCCAAACAGGTGCACTGTGGGCTCTGAAACCTCTGGCTTCTCCTCTGCAGATTGGCCTTGGCTACACAGAATGACTGTCCTGGAAGGCTCAGGGCAGAGAGTGCTTCCTTTGTGGTTACTGTTTAGTGAGGAACTGTGTAGAACCGTCAGTCATATTTAGTTTTGGGAATTGCCTCCCTCCCAGTAGGAAATCAAAACCACAGAGCCAAGTTCTGCAGTGAGTTGACAGCAGGGTGAGCAGCCAGTGGAGTGGGGGCTGCAGTCATTTGGAGCCCTGAGCCCTGTGGGCAGGCTGGGCAGACTGTCTTCCCACACCCCACTGACCCTACAGAATTCATAGAGAATCTCAAGACAGGGATCTCCTCCTCTGAGTTAACAAGAAGGCCTCAAGGCTGTCACCACAGGCGACTTGAGGGGTTTCAGACTTTATTGTGGGCCTTCTCTTTTGTCTGCCACTGGTGAGGGTTAAGTAATATAGTCATATATTTGAGCTCAGGAAGTTATTGCTGGCACCAGGGAGGAGTGCTGGGTCCCTACCATCATGAGGGGCCCATGTTTCACGAATGGAACTTCCAAGGGCTGACTGGCCCCTGGTAAACAGCAGAAAGTGCCAAAGGAAAGGCATTGGAGGAGAATTGAGGAAGGAGGGGCTGCAGAGGGCGGGAACCTAAGAGAGGCTATGGTGAGCTCTGGATAGTGGAGAGTCAAGAGGCAGCCAGGAATAGAGGCATAGCACAGAGGAGACTGAGGCAGGAGGATTGCAATTTCAAGGTTAGTCTGAGGACAACTCTGACTCAAAAGAAAAAGGAAGGAAGGAACAAATGAAGGACAGATGGACAGTTGACATTTGTTCCTCTTCTTATCTGTAGACCCCAAAGGCTACTGCGAATGGTACCTTCTTCCAAAGTGTTCTGTTCACTTACTTAAAAACCACTGGACATAGCGAGGTGTGGTGGCGCACACCTTTGATCCAGGCGCTCCGGAGGCAGAGGCAGGCAGATCTCTGACTTAGAGGCCAGCCTGGTTTACAGAACAAGTTCCAGGACAGCCAGGGCTACATAGAGAAACCCTGTCTCAAAACACCAAAAAGCAAAACAAAACAGAAGATTGAACACTTCCTGTATTTCCTGTCCTCTTTGTGCAGGGGCCAAGCCAATTTCAGGGTGTTGTTGATTTTATTTATTTTTGAACTCTTGAATCTTTTCTTTCATCCATTAACAAGTCAGTTAAAGCCTCTTCCCCGCTGGGCGGTGGTGGTGCACACCTTTAATCCCCTTGCATTCGGGAGGCAGAGGAAGGTGGATCTTTGTGAGTTTGAGGCCAGCCTGGTCTACAGAGTGAGTTCTAGGACAGCCAGGGATTCACAGAGAAACCCTGTCTCAAAGAAAACAAAACAGCCTCCAACTCCAAAAGAGAAAACAAAACAAACAAACAAAAAACAAAAACCCCTCTTCCCAAGGGCCTGCTACATGCCTGTGTTTGTTCCTGGCCTTGCTTTTGAAGTCTGGGCCCAGTGTGCTTATCACGTTTGTCATCTTCCACTGTGACCATGCTGTGCCCCATCCTCGTGCCAGCCCTCTGGGACCCCCTTTCACGGTGTTTTCAGTCTTCACTGTCACCCTGGGAGGAGGGGTACCCTTAGCTTCACAGCTGAGAGATGGATGTGTGGAGGATGTGAGGGGTCCTGCTCCCAGTAACACTCTCCTGCCTGGGAGCCCCACCCCAGAGCCTGTGAAGGTGAACACGAGGAAGGCCTGCGGGAATACCGAGCCACAGCAAAGGCTGCGCGGGAAGAAAGGGTGTCCGCTGAAGCATTTTTATTATAGCCTCAAACTGGGAACAGCATCATGTCCAATAATAGGAGATTGGTCACCATGAAGTATGAAAACATCCTACAGCTACTCTGCAGCCACAGAAGATAATGACGCAAAAATATGTAAACTGACAGGGAGAGATGGGGATGGTGTTTTGCAGAGCAGAGGAAAGCAGGTAACAGAAAGTGTGATTCCCGTTTGTTAGGTATTCATTCTCTGCTCTTTCTACAGTGGGCATGTCACAAGGAAATAATCACTTCCCTTATCGACCTCCCTGAACCAGTACACGGTTGCGCCTTCTGCGGTCATGATCTTGCTGTTTTTCTCAACGTTAGTCCCATTTCACAGATGGGGGAAGTGGAAAGTAAAGGACTGTGACTTGGGTCTGTTTCACAGTCACAGAGAGATGTGGACAGACATAGAGCTTCATATGGTGTAGATGGGACGAAATTCTACTGTGTTACTTCAGAATCTGACTTTAAAATAATTTGGATTAGGTACAGGAGCAGTGAAA